CTGAATTTTCAGCTGTTTCTAATCCCAGCTGAGAGATAAATCTGGAGTGTGGTATTTGGGGAAATCTCTTGTGCCACTACTTTTAGCCTGAACATTGGAAAGGAGGCAAGTGGTTTCATTTTGCAGAGAGCAGAAATCCACTGATTTGAGTGGGCTGCGCTTTGAGCTTGCTGTGGAATACACCTAACAATGGTTGTGACACCTGTCTGGACTTTGCCAACATTTGGAACTTCCCCTAAAGCCCCTCAAAACAAGGCAGAAACTTGCCAGGCAGCATTTGGTGAGAAGAACCGATTTTGAAATGGGCTTCTTAGAGGAGCACATTACAGCCAGCAGCTTTAGCTGGGTCTTGTTTACCCAAAGGCTCCCAGAGTGACCTGTTGGCTCAGGGCATCAGGACACTTCCCCCCTGCTTTAATCATCTTTTGTGGGCTGGTGCTGTTTCTGGGGACCAGTCCTGCAGGTGGCTGCCAGGGTTGGCTCCATGTGCCTCTGCCTGCTTAATGAAAACAGCCTGAATTAATCACAAAAATGCCAGAGAGCTGTCCCAGCGTGGGCTGGCTGAGGAGCTCACCCACAATATTCAGGATATATTTAGTGGGTGCTAGAAACTGATCTCATTTTTGATTGAGACACAAGGAAATAATTCAAGAGCTCATCCATTACAATCTTTTGCTGTTTCAGTTTCAAGATTCCAATAATGTCATGATAATACTGATAATATTTCACTGACTTTGGAAGAAATAACTGGGTAACATTTGCTAACTGCACAGGGATACACCAGATTGCAGTGCAATGCTCAGACAAAGCTTTTTCCCTTTACCTTCAAACACCAGCATGGTTAGTCCTCTTTCAGCAAAGTCTGTTCCATCACTGTTTATTCTACTGAGGAAAATCTAAAAAAATTGATAAACTTTTAAAGATAAATATGCTGACACAAAATTCAGCACACCACACGAAGAACCCCATTCTACCTAATTGTGCACAGGGTGATAATTTAGCACTGATTAAAGAGTTTGTATTTTTTTCAAATCTTTTTTAAAAGGAAAATTACTTCTGAAGGTGAAGATGTGCTTAGACAATCATATTAACATATTCAAACAATTGTAATTTGCAAAATAGTAATTACAACTCACTATCTGGTAGCATTAATCAAACTTCAAGGTTTAATTCCATTTTAAATATTGATGAAATGTGATTCTCCAATCTAACCCTGGTGTTGCAGGGTTATGGAAGCAGCCAGTGGCAGAAAAAGAGGAACGTGTAGTTAACAAGCAGCTGCCACAAAGAAGGATCGGCATCTGTGATTTAAATTGTTAGCTGCACAGTCAGGTAGAGTGTAAAAAGGGTAGTCAAGAGGCTGTTAAGTCCATTGCTGCCAATTACTAACAATCAGGGAGGAGCTTTAAGACTTGTTCAGTACAATAAACCCAGTTTGTCTTGTTTCAGGGGTTACTACTGAAGAGGTTGCAGCTGCACTGATTCAAATAGCCCTAAAACTACAGTAATTATCAACCAGTCTTCTTTAGTGTAGCAAAAGTATGTTTTACCATAGCTTAACTCTTTACATTCTAATATTTCCCTGCCTCCTCTGCCATAGCCAGCCCTGGAGCCATTCTCATCCCTGGGCTGTGCTTCTTCTTCCTATCCTGGACCAATTCTTTCATTTCCCCTTACCTAGGCCGAGGAGCAGTTGCACATCACACTGGCCTGGACAGCAGTTCTGGGCGTTTGCTTCATGCTCAGTCACTCCATCTATTTTTCCTTTTCATGCACAAAGTTGAAACTCACATCTCTCATTCAGTTTTTACATCTGGTTAAACTCCATGCAGGCTAAGCAGGGCTTGTGAACGTGTATTTCATTTGCACGGGCTCAGATCACTGCACCAGCCAAGACGTTTTGGAATCAGTCTGGCAGGGCCAAGATCCTTGGAGTGACTTGTCCTGGGTGCTTTCCTAGGAGACCAGGACATCCCAGAGTGCAGAACAAGACAGTCTGGGCAAACCAAGGGTATGCTGGAAACCTGTGAAGCCAAGGTAGCATCTGCCCTTCTTTGTGCTTATGCCCTTGATGCTCAGCTGAGTGAGGGCTGTCAAGAACTCAGGCTGGTTATTTCTAGCACTCAGGTGAGCCAGGTGTGCCCAGCTGCCAGCCAGACATGCTGGTGCTCAGCATCTCTAAGTTTTCTTATTCCTTCACCATGACAGGAACAGACAAAAGTTTCCTTTACGTGCAATTATTACAAACTCGGTTAAACTATCTATTTTATTTTTCTTTCTTTCTTTTTTTTTTTTTTTTTTTTTTTTTTTTTTTAGTTAAGGCAATTCCAGCTAAAACCAGAGAGCCACACAGAGTGGACAATATCTGTGACAGGGAGGCTCACATGATCACATCTCCAACACCTAGTGCATGGAACAAAAGCCAGCACATTGATTATGGCTTGGATGTTGTTTTTTGAGAAAGCTTAAGGACCGCATTTGCATTCCTGTTGCAGCCCTCGGTGGAATCTGCCTGTGAGAATTGCATGGTCTTTAAGCAAGATTCTGTGCTCATGTTTTTAATTTCCCTTTTAGCATATTTTTTCAGCGTCTATTTTCACCTACTTTACACCCAAATTAGTAATGTGCCATTAACAGGGTATTTTGTTATGGATCTGTGGATCTCTAAGGAATAAAAAAAAAAAAATCAGTGAAACACAGAAAGAGCTGAACTTAGCTATCTTATCCAAATTATGGCTATTTTGCAGTCACTAAAGCAAGCACCTTGGCACCATCCCTGCCTGCACCAGGATGCCAGCAGAGCTGGGTGTGAGCAGCACCTCAGAGTGTGCACCCAACTCGATGGGCCAGCAGTGAGAGGAAAGAGAGGGCAGCATGAAAAAAACAAAAAACAAAAAAACAAAAAAACCAAAAAAACCCCAAAAGACAAGGGAAAAAAAAAAAAAAAAGACAAAGCTTGATTCACAAGCAACCACAGTCAATGGGATTAACCCCCAAGCTTGTGCACCAGAATTTGTCACATACCCCTCTGGAAACTTCTTAGCCTAACACTTGATTCCCATCACCTTCCCAGCCTTTGCACGTCAAATGCTCCTCTGTCACTTTAGCATGAAGGTACAATTCCACAGTCAAAAGATCTCCAGGAAAATCTGACTCCTGAAGAAGCAGCATGCTTCTTTCTCCGTTTTGTTAGACCTGCCTAGGCAGGGTGCTCAGCAGGGGGAAAAAATGGGACCGTGATGGTCACAGGGGTTGCACCCTCTCAGCTCCATCCTCCTCCCATCATCTGTTCTTGTAAACCCTCGAAATTTAGATTTTTACACACATCACAAGCAGCTAATATGAATTTGTTAAGAGAGTGGTAAACACAAGAAACAGCTCGAATATATTTCATTTGTACAAAAATAAATACAGGTATTGTTGTAAGTATTACTTTGATTTTTTTTTTCCCCTCCCCAAGGCTTTTTGAAGTTTGTTTTTCCTGGTTTACTACACAGATCCCTTTTTTTTCCTACACAAACACAAAGGAAAAGGCTGCAGAACAGTTTTTGGAGACAAGACTATTTAAATCCCTGAAATTAAGAAGCCACAACTCAACATTCACCAAGCTATTTTTTTGTAAATCATGCAGAAAATTACTATTCAAACTTTGCTGGTCAGTTGTTTTTTCCTACATTGTCTTTGCTTTTATTTTCTTTCCACACTGTCATTATGCTCTCAGAATAAATACGACAGACATGAATACTAACAAGGGACACAGGAGTTGGTCTAAAATATCTCTCAGCCACTACATCAGCTTATACCTGCCACAAGACACATCTCAAAAACAGCATGGAAAGAAAAGCTCCAAGATAAGAACCTGGGATTTTACTGAAAATTTTCCTTTACCTTCACTTTTTATAAACCAACAAGCAACACAGCCAGAGTATTTTAAAAATGCTTAATCTTAATTTCTGATAGTTAAAACATTTCTCCTGCGTATTTTGCCCAAAAAGGCAAAATGTAAAATCTGTACATATAAATCTCGTGGCTCACCCAAGCTGAGCTTATCAAACAGAGGAATAATCAGTCCTTGCCACAGAGCCAGCACCTCCTGCCTTGACAAATTCCCACACAACAGCACACGATCTTTTAAACAAACAAACAAACAAAAAAAGTGTTCTGAGATGTGCCAACGGCTAAAAAATGGATTTATTTTTCAAGGGAGAAATGACTTGTTTGACTGGAGCCCAGGGATGCAAGGAGCAGCTCTGACAGGGGATGTTTAACCTTCCTTTCTCTCCCTTCCAGACGATGATGAGCATGAATGGATCCTTCGGACCTGCCGGAAAGCCTGGGATATAACAGCTGAGCAGGAACCGAAACCATCACACGGCTTTTCCTAGACAGTATTCCAGCAAAGCAGGTAATCTGATTCACAATAAACGCAATTTGTCCTCGTGGATTTGTCTCACCCTTTCCCTCGACAGGAATATAATCTTTCTGTCATCTTTGTCAGCTCAAAGGAAAATGGAAATAATCATTTAATCAGTCATGCTGAGCAAAAGCCACGGCAAAAAAGCCGACTGTACTCACAATAATATTCCTGAGAGGTGTGCAGTGTAGTATGTATAAACATTATTAAGCCTGAAAACAATTTGTTAAAAAGAGTGCCTCGGATTCGGTGTTGAAGTCATTCAAATCCATCTTAATCAACATTATTTTCCCAGATTTTAGTTAGCTGTCCTGGTGAATTCCTTTCCTCTCTTTTTGCTCAGTACTTTGATATTGATTGATCATTGTAATAATGTACACCAGAGGTATTCTTTAATGACGGGTTTGCTAACTAGGAAATTATATCCATTTACTACGAACGTTTGTTGAACTCTCCTGAAGCCAGAGTTTAACAAAATAATAAAAGAGGAAAACTGGGTGGGTTGCTGCTTGATTAGTAAGCCAGAAAGTATTTAAAAATAAAATAAAATGGAATTACATCATTTTCTGGATGTAAGTGCCAGCACTTCTACTTGCATTAACTTTATTTATTACACAAATAAGACATTTACAAAGCACAACATTAAAAGTATGTAACAAAACAGACATTGGTTTTACAAAAAGTGCTTACAATTTTGTTTTACTTTTTTAAAATAAATATTAGTCTTGACTGTCCACTCATTCAGAGAAAATTTTTTTTTTAACCATTGTAGCCAAGACATGCAGAATTGCAACATGCTACAACAAAATGATTGGCAGATGAAATAAAACTGGTGTTTAGTTGGCATCCTACAGATAAATCACTGATAGTAGTGCAGGATTGGTTCCCACTCCCTGTCCCAACGAGTGAGTTCTGTAAGCACCTTTAGCTCGGGCATTGGGTTAACCAGCATGAGCCAGAAAAAATCACTGGTGATAAAACCTGAAACCATCCCACTTCCAGAGCCGAGCTCTGTTAGTCACCTTATTAAACTGGAGTGAAGAGTCTTTCACTGGCTGTCTTCAGTGGATTCTGTCTGCAAAAGGGTTTGCAAATAGCAACTGGAAAAGTTTAGTGCGTGGAGTCTGCATTGCTGCACCAGAACCCATCTGGCAATTACTGAATAAACTAAGAAAATGAGAATGACTTTAATTTTATTTTTTTTTTTAATCCACAGACAGGAGATGAATGCAAATGACCTGAGATAAGGTTTGGTTCAGTGGCAACAGTCAGTGTGAAATATGTTGTGAAACAATGTATTGAATAAATTAGAAGATTTCTTACATTCTTGGTACAGTTGAGTATTTTCCATACACATAATTAGCTCTAAAACTGCACAAGCTGAATTGCTTCCAGTTTTTGCAAACAATTTGGGCTTAATATAAACAGAGCCTGATTTCTGAATTAGCAAAGCTGCTCCTGGCTACTTATGGGGGGAAGTGCCCCGAGCACAGTCTGTGGTGAGCCCACATCCCTGGAGAGAAACACCGACATTCCCTGGGCCCTGCCGTGGCACTGCTTACAAACCCTTGGATAGCCAGGACATCTCCAAGGGGGGTTTTTCTGACAGAGTTGGTATTCAGCAGATACATATTTCATAGTTTCCCTTTCACTGCATTGCCAATACAGAAGGGAGAAACACATCAAACCCCTTTCTCCCTCAACAGGACAGTTGTGGCAATCTCAGAGACTGTGGGATGTCAGGGCAAGTTACAGCCTGAATCTCTCCTTCTGAGTCAAATGGAATAACTACCCATTCCTTTATGGCACTAATTCCACAACTAAATGGTCATTAGGATGTGCAAGCACAAATGGAGAACAAAGTCAGGCCCCGGTGACCCCCCCGGCCCCCACGAGCATCTCAAGGCTGGCACAGCAACCACCTCAACCTGTGATGACAAACACTCACCAACAGCCAGCCAAGGGAGCACTCATCCTTCCCTCATTTCTATGAAAAGGACAAAAAGGATGCACCTGGTGCCACTGGTGACTGTCCCCTCCCCAAGGGACGCCTCTGCAGAGGTGGCTCCAGTCAGGTCAGGCGTGTGGCAGCGCCTCGTCACTGGTCACACTCTGGGAATGGTCACTCACACAGCTGGAGGTGACAATAGCATTTTGTGGACTTAATTCCCCTCTCTCCTTTCAAATGTTATTTTGAACTGGGACTAGAGCTGCTGGCTGCAGTTTGACAGACACTGGCCCAGCTGTCCGAGGTAGTACCATCGCTCAGTACACGGACACACACAGGAGGGGGTGTGTGTGTGTGTGTGTGTGGACTTGTTCCAACCAACATCCACGTGTGTTGCACTCAGCTGCTTCTCCAGCCAAGAGATCTCAGTGGCCACCTCAGCAGACGTGCCCATCTCCCCACGCCACTGCTGGAGCGTCCCTGGTGGTTCGGCGGAGCCGCGTGTCCGGCTGCTGGTGTCACACGGAGCTCGGGGACGCGGGCAGGAGAAGGCTCCCCACGTGTGCAGCGTGGGCTGGCCAGAGCACTGGGATGGTTGCCCACCTGGCCCATGCCGTGGATTGATGCGGGATCTCCCAGAGAGGAAAACACGTGTGTCTACAGTTCCAATTAAAAACAAGTTACGGAGCAGATGGATTCCCATCTCCTGCTCCTCGGGCACGGCTCAGTCACATCCCTCACTGGCTGTGGCTCAGGGTAGGCTTTCACATTCTTGGAAGAGCAGCCTCACAGACACTTCACAGCAGGACAGGCCCATGTGCTTGCGTGGAGAGAGGTTTGGTTACAGACCTGCTCTTGGCTCGGTGCAAACTGAGAAGGGCTGGCAGAGGTCTCATGTTTGGCTTTCGTTATTACCATCAGTGAAGGATGGGATCGTTTTGGAGTCCTTTTCCTGACTTGGGGCCAGACTGCTGAGCACTTCCTGTGCTGTTGCCATGAGCCCAGCCATTCTCCTGGGATGCACCCTCATCCCAGGGCCTGGCAGGACCAGCAGCCCTACCCCAGCAAGAGAGACCAGGAGGGCAGAGGGGATCAGAACCATGCTACCAGACAAAGGAAGATGCCATCCCCTTGCTGTCCACTTGGCTAGCGACGGTTCCTGCTGGCCTTACTGTGGCTTTCACCTTTTTAAGTGGTCTCCAGTTTCTACCCAACTCTTTCCACTGACTGAACTTGAGTCCACAGCAGGGCAGAACATTTCTACACCTTTATGACCACCTTCCATCAAGCATTTCCCAGTCCCAGAGTATGGATTGTCTGAGAGTTTTCTGTAGGTGCATTCTGAAATCACCCATTTATGATCCAATATGACTCCAAGGAAATTAAGTAGCTTGTTAATAAAGAATGAGAGTAAAAATCTTAAAAAAAAAAAAAATTTGGCAGATGGCTGTGAGAGGAGAGAGATATTCAGTGTTCTAAGAACAAGTCAGCAATCAAAAACTTCAGGGTGCTAAACCTGGCTCTGCCACCAACCCTCATGGTTCCTCTCAGTTTAGGACATCTCTGCTTCCCCTCCTACAAAACGGGGGGAAAAACACTAAGATTTACTTACCTTTGAGTGATCAAAGGACATGTGATTCTAAAGCACTTTGAGGAGGAAGAAAAACTGCCTATTTCCAGCTGGCATCATGTTTTCCACTCAGTGGAGTCTCAGCTACCTGCGAGTTTGGCTCAGGGAGGTCTGTCTATATATCGAGCTGCTGAGCCATAAAGCCAATTTCAGATTTCACACATGCGAGTGGAAAGAAGGAGGGATGTCCAGGAACTGCTTCACTGGTGCAAAGAGAGAATCAGGCCAAACCACGAAAATTCCTCCTTCCTTTGTGTTCAGAGGTGATCATCGACCCCCCCTGAGCTCAGCGTGCTCTGGGTCGTTCATATTCCCGTGGGTTTGGGAGCGAGACTTGCGAGCACAGTAGAGTCACCAGTTTTGACTGTGGCTGGCACTGCCTTGGAAGAGACTCACGGTCATTCTACAAGTCCACAAGAAACAAGTGTAAAATGTAACTGTGCACTCAACACACACACACACAGAGTGTCGCTGGAGAAATCGGAGCGGGCGCGAGGTGCTGCTCAGTGGAAGGAACTGCGAGCGCTGGGGCTGAGCTTCTCCCGCGGGACCGGCGGCCGAGGGCTGGGCGCTGTCAGCGGCTGAGGGGCAGCGGTGCTGGCAGGGCCACGGGCACGTGAGGAAGAGTCCCCGCAGTCAGTACTGAAAGAGGATGACCTGGGGGGAGAACGGGAGCGTCAGGGCAGAGCGATCGCTGGCAGGGAGCGGCAGGACGGACACGGGCTCTGCCAGGCTGGACGCTTCCCCGTAGGAAAACCCTCTCTGGAAGAGCTCTCTGCCCAGGAGCTGCCAGCTCTGGAGCTGCCACTGAGGAGTTCAGGTGGGAGAAGACAGGAGAGGTGCACCATACCTTTGGCTGTGAAACCAAACAAAACCGGGCAGCACCCCAAAAACGCCACTTCATTCATCTGTTCCGTGATATGGCAGCTGCCAAGAAGGACAGAGACTGTCCTGGCTGTCCAGCTGTCCTGACTGCCACCCCAGCCAGTGACCAGCACAGGCTCCCCTCAAACACTGCAGCTCGCTGCTCTGCAGGGGCAGGGGAAGCAGCAGCTGGGCTGGTCACAGCTCACCTCTCACCAGCCACTGCACTGGGCACCCCCAGAGAGAGTGGGGCTGCCCCACACGCAGAGGGAAACGCACACTCAGCGCTGAAATGTGTTTTCCCAGGATCTCAGCTATCTCTGCTTTTAAAAATTTTTGGATGTGGGGGAAAAAAGGCTACTTCAGTTTTCAGGAATTCAACATGCAAGCGATTGTTTAGAAAAGGAGCTGGTTGGGGGGCAGCTCCGTGTCCAGAGAACCCTGTTCTGCAACAGCTGCGAGCCAGTAATTGCATTTAAATCAGGAGCTGCTTGCTGCAGTGAAGCTTCTCTAACAACAGCACCAGGACTGTATAATATTTTCTGAAAACACTGCAGCTTGCTGGCACACAGGACAAAATGGTAGAATTTAGACAGAAAAAGTGTCTTTGCTGTGCCCCTGCTTCTGCCCGTTGAAACAGAACTCAATAAGCTGTTGTACTGGTAGAGATCTGAAAAGAGAGGTGCTGAGAACTTCTAACAGCAAAGACAAAAGCAAAAACCACTCAGAATTGCCAAAGGCTCAGTGTTTCCTCAGAAGAAAGTCACTGAAACTAGCGTCATGTCTGAGAAGTCTTGCCCCCAATGAGCTGTGTGTTAGAACAGATACTGTAAGAGCTGAACAGAAAAATATCAACATGCAATATTGTCTCCTGGCCAGAGTTGTGAAATAACATTCTTACTTCAGATATTGTAACAGCCAGTTGTTATTATTTTTAAGCAATACTGCAATCCACAAGAAATGAATTTTTTGTTAACTCGTGGAAAACTAGGAAGTTAACACATGCCACAGGTTCCCCCTGCCCTGTTTTGAACAGCCAGGTGCTGTTCACACTGAGCACACATGCAGGCACCTGAGGGACGGAGCAGGACAGAGCTCAGGGCACCGGGAAGGGGAAAGCAGGGAGGATCCAGGCAGGAGGATGTGAGGGCCCTCAGTGGATGCAGGCACAGAGTCCCAGCATGTCACAACAGCAAGGGGTGCCCAGGGGAACACACAGTGATGCCATTTTGACCAACAGTGGGTATGTCAACCTTAGGGCCCCCAAAACTACGGGCAGACACACGGGTGGGTGGCAGATGCAGGGGTCATGGAGAAGCAGTGATGCTGACAGGAGACAGCGGTGGCAATGATGCTACACACAAATCTTTGCTACAGCGAGGGTTGGCCCCAGAGCCTGGAACAGGGACTACATTTACCTTCTCACCCCTATTAGATAGTGGTCCTTCCATGTCTGCTTTGAGGTGCACTGGTGGAGCAGTGTAGGGAAGTCTACAGTGCACTTGTCCACACTGTACCTGACCTGTGGATGAGAGGAGGCTTCAGCCTCTGTTACTGCAAACAACACCCGCCCTCCGCGCGGCACAGCCGGGTCCCACGGGGTACGCAGGGAGCAGGAGGTGCCCAGCTGGTCAGGGGCACAGCCACAGAGCCAAAACCTCTGTCCAGGCATGACCAAAGCTGCCCATCACTCACAAACCACTCACTGGCACTGGGAACAGAGAAAACAACTCTGCTGTCCTGAGCAGGAAGGAGACCACAGGGCACACTCACACCTCTTCTCCACGACACAGAGAGCACCGCAGGGCCGAGGGCCAGGCAGTAAAACCCAGGCACTGACCTTCCTGGGGAAAGTTAACCCCAGGGGCAGAGTTTATCAGCCACGAGGAGCAGCAGCAGCAGCACGGGCAGCACCCCCGCACCCGCAGCACCAGGAGGGTTTTGCCACTGCCCATCCCGGGATCTTCCCCAGCCCCTCCATCTCTTACTTTCGATGTATCCGTGCAGTGTCACCATCCGGGCCCGCTCGGGGCTGCTGAAGGGCGAGTAGTGGATGTCGTCGGCCAGCGAGGAGGGGATGCGGGACGGGGGCGCTCCCGAGGGCGGCACCGTGTGCTGCGGGGTGTGTTTTTTATGGCGGGCTCTGCAGTTTTGAAACCAAACCTGAAAAGAGAGCAGAGAGCGCTGTGACAGCTGAGAGACAGTTGGGTTAAAATGTGGTCCTTCACCGGGGTCCTTGGATGGGTGTTTCTTCGAGGTTTTTATAAAAGGGATGAAAAGCAGCAGGTATGAGATCTCTGGTCATATCTCACTGCTTCTAATTAAAGGAGTAGTTTGGGAATTCCATCCTAGAGTTAAAACATGTATGGAAAGGGGTTTTTAATGCTAAAGAGGTGATCTGCTCCTTATGCTTTAATTTTTGAAAGATAGCTGTGAGTAAAAACTTTCTCCAAGACTGAGTGAAGATCAGCTCCCCAAGGCAGAGCACACTGGACCATGGAGAAGGAAACAGTCTAAGCATTTGACAAATTATTTCCTGTTCAAAGTGCCTTTAAAAAACATCCACATAAAAAATCACCTGGTGTGCAGCCTGCTTGATCTTTAGCTAAATGAAGAATCTCAATAACAGGGGCTCAAGCCAGATTTTCACAGCAAAATTTAAAAGTGTCATTGGCAAAACGATCTCGGATGAAAGCTCCAAATTTATTTTAATCTCTCGTGTTTTTATTGTGTGCAGAAAGTGTGTGAGCAGAATGTTAAAGTGATGAGTACAAACGTCACCAAGAGGCAGAGCTGGGCTGGCTGGGAGCTGCAGAGGGGACATTTCTCAGTCCCTACGGCACCACTCACCCTCTCCTCCCACATCAGGGGTGGGAACTTCCCTGCCACAGTGTCCTCTGGAGCTGCAAAACTCTTTTTTCTTTAAACTTCTCAATGCCAATGCTTCCTGACTCTGCCTGCTCGTGGCAGGGGCGGCTGCTGGGGGAGCTGCCACACTCCCAGCAGCGGCTGGGACAGAGCACAGCGCTCCAGGACCTGCTGCTAGCGGCAGCTTTGCAGCCAGTGATTTATTGTAGATGGCTGGGGCTGTTGGGGTTTTGATTCATCGCATCACAAGAGGGAAAAACAAACAGCAAACCCACGAGTGAGACACAGAAGGAACGGCGCTGGCATCGCTGCGGGAGCAGAGGAGCCGGCAAGCAGGGAGGCAGCTCGAAGCTGCTGGATGCTGCAGGTCTGGGGTGAGGAGCCACAGGCTGTGAGCGTGAGCCCTGGCTGGTGCCAGCCTTCAGGTGTCCCCTGCCTGCCCTGCCCGGCCGGTGGTGGCCGCCCGTGCCCGTCCTGCCCTCACCTGAATGACCCTGCGGCTCAGCCCCGTCATGTCCGCCAGCTTCTGCAGCGTTTGTGCGTCGGGGTTGTTGTCCTGAGCAAACTGTGCCTGCATGACCTGCGGAGAGAGGAGAGGAGAGAGGGGCTCGGGGTGAGGCTGGGGGGTCCCGGCCCCCGCAGCCCCCCTGGCCCTGCTGCCCTTACCTGCAGCTGCTCGGCGGTGAAGGAGGTGCGGGCTCTCTTGGCCGGCTTGGGCTGGCTGTCCTGCTCCGAGGGCACAGCCCCCTCCAGCGTGATCCCATTGCCTGCAGGAGAGAGCTCCTCTGAGCCACAGGGCAGGAGCCGGCCTGCCCCACCACGTGCAGCAGCTGCTGCTCGAGGGGACACCACACCTGGTGGCACCACAGCGTGGGACACCCAGGGCATCCCCTCAACGGAGGGACAACAGCCCGGGCATCACAGCCTGGGACAGCCAAAGCACCTCTTGCTGCAGTGGGAGCAGAAAGGGTGGAGCCAGCACTGCCACCTGGGAGCTGCCTTGGGCTGCTGAGCCCCTCTGCACGCAGGGAAGGAGAAACAACCATTCCCCAAGAGTTTACTGCGGAATTAAGAAAAATGCAGCAAGTGGTGGAAGGCACAGGGAATAAGGGGAGACAGCAGCAGGCAGAGGGTCAAGGTGGTGTGTGAGGGCAAGCACTGATGTCCCTCTGGCCCTGACTCCTGGTCACATTCTCCAGGGAGTGGCTCAGAAGGGACTCTGTCTCTGCCAGGCTCACCAACATCCATCACTCCTGCCCCTCGCTGCCCCCTGTGATCCTGTTTTCCCTCAAGGGCTCTGCCTCCCTCAGTCCTTCCATGTGCTCAGAGCATTTCAATGAGCTCTTCTCTCCTTTCCCCAGCCTCAAGCTGCCCCAGCATCCCGACCTCCTCTTCCTCCTGGGTCCCAGAGAAGCAGCAGGAGCCTTGGGGTGGCCATGCATGAGCAGCAGCCACACTAAGGGGACACTCCAGAGGGGCACTGACCTCCCCCTTGCCCAGCCCCGTGTCGGGGCAATCCCAGCCATGCTCAGGCTGCTGTGCAGCCTCAGAGAGGGTGCCCAGGGCCCTGCTGCAGCCCGTGCCACCCTGGCTGCCCCTGGCAGTGTAGGTGAAGCTGAGGGAGGGGCGAGGGAGGACGGGTGGGGGAGGGCAGCGAGCAGGGCTGGCGCTCGCCCCGGCCCAGGATGCGCCTGCACAGCCCAGGGATCGCTCCACAAGCTGGACCAGGCTGTGATTGTCTTGGCTTGAGTTGAAGGACTTTCTCATATAGTTTGACTTGTTCTTTTCGGATGATGAATGGGACTCTGACTTCAGCAACATCTGTTTATTTTTCTTGTATGTAAAACCTCATGTGCAGAAGAAATTGCTGGGTAATTACTGGAGGGGGGAGTGTGGCCCTGCAACTCCACAGCAACTGCAGCTCTCCAAAGTGATCCCACCCCCTTCTCAAAACCCCTTGGACACAGGTAGTGACACCTGACACTCACCAGGTGTCCCGGCACTGCCCAACACTGGTGCTCAGCCCACTCCAGCAGGTTGTTCAGAGCAGCAGCAGCAGCAAACCCACCATGCCAGCCCTCGGCCAGGGCAACAGCTCTGCAGGACTCCCCGGTGCCAGACCCTGCTGTCCTCACACCATTCTGCTCCCCCAGGACACGTGGCTTCTCCTCCTCCATCCTTGCTCCCCATGACCTCCCTCACGCCCCACAGCAGCTGACCAGATGGACCAACACACCACGAGCCATGTCCTGAACCAGGACCCTCCCAGCCCAGCTGGGCACTCTGTTTTCATCCTCTTTCTCAAACACAGCAAACTGAACCATATTATTTTCCTGTCAGGTTGTTAATGGTTTCCACATGCTGCATGGGCCGGGACATGGCGTGTCACTCCCTGTGCCCACCGTGTGCTGAAGCACTTTCCACCACAGGACAGGTCCTGGCACTGCCCGTCCTCTGGACTAACCCCACAGATCTGTTCCTCTGAGCATCTCTCTGGGCACTGCCATGCAGGAGGGTGGGGAAGGGACAGGAGCTGCAGTGCTGCGTGACCCCGGTGTCACCGGCTCCACTGGCTGGCCATGGCACAACCCCAGATGGGCAGGGTGGGTGGAAAATGATGGGAAGTTTTTGTCCAGTCACCAATCCCACCTTCTACATTTCTGACTCACAGCCTCAAATCCCAGCAGCTTCCTCACGCTCTGCACTCCAGGCTGTGCAGGACCAGGCACTTGTCCCTGGCATTGCCCATGGCACACAGGTCTGCCACGAGCCGCAGGTGCTGCCAGCACGTTGGCCACGCCACGAGCCCTCTGCCAGCCCAGGGCCTTATGCTCAAACCCCCCAGGGCCACCCATCACCCTTTTTGGCAACGACAGAACCAACCCCAACACCCTGTGCTGAGGGTCAGCGACACCCTGTCTCACAGGGGATAGTGACACCCTGTCTCACAGGGGGACAGTGACCCCCTGTCTCACAGGGGGACAGTGACACCCTGCCTCACAGGGGACAGTGACACCCTGCCTCACAGGGGGACAGTGACACCCTGTCTCACAGGGGGACAGAGATACCCTGTCTCTTTGGGGACAGCAACACCCTGCCTCACAGGGGGACAGTGACACTCTGTCTCACAGGGGACAGTGACACCCTCTCTCACAGGGGACAGTGACACCCTCTCTCACAGGGGATAGCAACACCCTGCCTCACAGGGGATAGTGACACCCTGTCTCACAGGGGACAGTGACACCCTGTCTCGCTGGGGACAGTGACACCCTGTCTCACAGGGGACAGTGACACCCTGTCTCACAGGGGACAGTGACACCCTGTCTCACAGGGGGACAGTGACACCCTGTCTCACAGGAGACAGTGACACCCTCTCTCACGGGCGAGGCCGTGGCCGCCGGCGCTCCGTACCGTTCTCTGCCGCTCGCTTGAGGTTCTCGATCATGGTGTCGTAGTGGATCCGGCACAGCACCTTCTCCTCCACCAGGCCGAACTCCTCGCCGGTGGAGAGCTGCCTCTTGCAGGAGAAGCAGGCGAAGCAGGCCAGGTGGTAGGCGTTGCCCCGCGCCCGCCGCACCCAGTCGCTGGCGTAGATCTGCCTGCCACAGCGGGCACACTTGGTACCGAACCGGCTGCGGAGGAGAAGAGACAGGTGAGGGCAGGCAGGGAGGGCAGGGAGGTGAGAGCAGGCAGGGAGGGCAGGGAGGGCAGGGAGGTGAGAGCAGGCAGGGCAAGACAGGCAGCACCATGCCAGGGTGCAGGTGCTGCTGCCGACCCCGGTGCTCACCCCGACCACGCCAGCTCCCACGGCACCCGTGCATGCAGAGATGCAGCGGGGCCGCCCCAGCGGTGCCCGTGCCGTGGCAGTGCCAGCGGCGTGGGCAGCAGTGGGTGGAACTCGGTGCAGCCCTGCGGCGCCAGACGCGGCCGAGGGGCCGAGGTGACGCAGCGCCGTGAATCAGCTTCCAAGCCCGTGGGTTTTTTATTTTGATAACAGCCAGTGTGACACTCGGATGGAAACTGTGTCAGAGCTGGTCCTCTCCCGCTGCCATAAATCAAACCATGTGTGTTCTCCTCACACGTACAGGCGCACACGTCTGCTTTTTCCCCCGTGGAGGAGGTCTCCTCACTGTGAGAGCATGATGACTGTGCTGGAGTGAGCTGTGCTGGAAGGTAGCGGAGCACAGTCAAGAAGCAGACAGCCAGGATCCCTTCACCAGGTGATTGTGTGAAAACCCCCATTCCTGTCAGGACGCTGATGGTCAAGGGCAGGTGATTCACAGGGAGCAGCAGATGTGGCCCCCATGGTCCTGAACCCCCCGGTCAGTGTGTGACACGAGGTGCCAGGCAGGTTTGATATCTGCATATTCAGTACTACTGCTGCTTAAAATAACAAACGCAATGAACAGCAGCGAGAGCATCAGGAGAGAAGGGAGCATCTCCTCTGCCACCCCAGAGGTGGTACTGGCTCCAACACAGTCAGTGCACTTCCCCACACAGCCCAGCACTGCCACTGTCACCTCAGGCTCCCGAGGGCTCCTGCCAGCCCCTCACCACAGTGGGAAGCAGAGCCACAGGCAGCCCTGCCAGAGCAGCTCCAGAATCTGTCAGTGCAGACACAAAACACCGACAAGAAATGACCACAGCAAGCGACAGGAGAGACCCCACAGCACAAAACCTTGGGTTCAGTGGCCAGAGCAGCCCCAAGCTCTGCAGACAGAGCCCAGCCAGGCCACCAAGGCCAGTGTGCTGCCCATGCCCGACCCCACACTGAGGAACTGCTGCCCACCACGGGCCCAGCAAGATGTGGAAATACTGTCCTGTGCTGGGATTACTAATAGCAAAACTATTTGGGAGGAAAAGAAGGGTCTAAATTTTTCAGCCTGACCATAGCTGACCAAAAAAGAAGGAAAAAAAAAAGAGGACATTTCTGTGCTGAAATTATACAGAGACTTAGCTAAGAGACTTCACTAATTTACTTCAGATGGGAACATTGTAAACTGACTTTGTGCCAGCTCGTTTATATAAACGCACAAACAAAAGAACTGTATTAATTTTTTATTTAGAAATAAAGATCATTCCTGTAAATTGAATTACTTTGAACAATGTGCTATGTAAACAGTCGTACTTGCTGAACAGCATCAAGCGAGGGGCAGGCGTACGGAGCTAATGGCACGTGGTGATCGCCGCTCCCCGCTCCAATCCCAGCCCAGGCGGGGGAGCACAGCACGGGCACGGGGAAACTGAGGCACCACACAGGAAAGGTCACACGTCCCCAGCACACATCAGCTGGGGTCTGGGGAGACACCCAGGCATCTCCTGAGGACCAGGCAGGACCCCCAGATTGGCAGCGGCGCCCAGGGAGCCGGACAGGGTTCACTGAAAGGCGCGGGGGCTCGTGTGGCCATGGCAGCACAGGCAGAGGCTGATGTCCCTGTCCCTGCAGGGCCACGCCACGAGCAGAACCTGCAGAGAGGCTGAGGCTCAGCACAGCGCGGGCACGGGGCTGCACAGCCTGCGGCAGCAGCGACGCTGACGCTGCGCCTGCGGCTCTCGGCCAACTCCCGTCTGCGGCACCGCTGCAGCCATCGGGGACACGGCTGGGGCCAGGCACCAGCACCCACTGTCACCCCACAGAGGTGACACTGCAGGGACCACCACTGCCAGGGACACAGGAACGGGGGGAGAAATTTCTGCAATAATTCTGCCCCGATCATCACCACTGCAAATAACAGCTCAAACACAAGACAGGGTTTAGCTCACGGAGCTCGCAGCGCGGTGAGAGCCCAAAGAGCCCCAGGGCTCCACAGGACTCCTGCCACCTGCCTGGTAGGGACAGGGATGGGAATGGGGACAGGGCCACATGTAGCAAGAGACACAGAGCCAGAGGATTTGTCCAAGCCCAGAACTGTGGCACAAACTGCAGCATTACCAAACGCTATCAGAACCATGGGCTCATGCCCTGCATGCATGGTTTGTGGTCAGGTGAGCAGATGCTCTCCCCAAAGGTTAACTCTGGGAGATGGAAACTGACAACAGGAAAGACTCATCCCAGAGAGACTCATCCCAGGAAGACTCATCCCAGGAAGACTCATCCCACCTCCCCCAGGGGCGGCCGCATCATCTGGGGCGCAGGAAGAGCAGAGGCGGGAGGACGCCCTGGTGCATCCTGTGTCTCCCACGCCGCTTGTCCCCAGGTGCCACAGCTCCCTCAGCCCTCCTGTCCATCCCTGCCTGCAGGGAAAGGGCAAGGGGCACCAGCCCCAGGGCCACGCACAGCTCAAACATCCCTGTCCCCTCCCGGGTCCTGTCCCCTTCTGCAGGAAGCCTCTAGCACAGCCCTCAGAGCCAGCTGTGGCTCACATCTGCCCAGTCCCACAGCAGAGCCCAGCGCTGCCTCAGCGAGGATCTTCGCGCTGTGCCACTGCAGTGCCCGAGCAGGAGCAGCATCCTGGAGGGACACAACCTCTGGGATGAAGGCCACCTGAGCCACGGCCAGGCCAGTGACCCCAAGGTCACAGGCCTGCAGACTGCCCACCGAGGTCACAGCAGGACACAGCGGGAATCACATCAGGATCACGGGAATCACACCAGGATCACGCTGGGCCTCCGGGCAACAGGAGCCATGGGAGCTTGGCTGTGAGCAGCCCTTGCATGGCTGGGAACACAGTGTTCTGCTCAATGAGCTCCAATTTTAATTTGGTTCTCCTTGGAGCGCTGGAGTCTTAGATGCCAAATGTAATTATTTGACAAGACACAGGAAACAGCAGCATTTGCTTAAAAATGCACACGAGCTCACGGAATTACGGCAGAGCCAGCACCTACACAGCTCCTCATGGGGACAGAGAAGGGACACTTGCACAGAGCAGGCCTAACCACACTCCCCGTGGGCAGTGGGGCTGTGACATGACAGCCCCGTGCCTGACAGCTTTCATCCTCAGCGTCCCCCAACAGCCCCGAGTCGGAGGGATCAGCTCTGCAGCAGCCCAGCATCCGTGTGACCCGTGCAGAGCCTCTCACTGCCCCTTCCATCTGCCTCAGCTCCAAGCACCACACGCCTTAGGATGGGGTTTCTGCTTTGCTTAAAAAAAAAACCCCAAACCCTCACACATTTAATCTGCCTCAAATAACAAATAAAATTTTCAAAATCCATCCCGGGGATCAGGTTTAGCCCGCGCCACGCACCAGCTTCCACTGGCTGGAGTCAACAAGATGCCAGCCAGGATGCTCCCAGGGCTGGGTGGGTGCAGGAGGTGGCCGAGAGGGTGGACACGGGGCGAGTTTGCCAGGGGTAGCGGGAGGGATCCCAGCCCTGCTGAGCGGCTCCCGGCCGCACACCGGCACCGCCGGCGGCGGCTCAGCCCGGCTCGTTCTGCCGCGGGAGGCGGCGGGAGCGACCCCCGCCCACCACCCCCGAGCACCGAGCGGGGCTCGGCCGGGGCCGCAGCGATCCCCGCGGGCTCGGGGACAGAGAGGCAGCTCCGCACCCGCCGGGCTCCGAGCGCCGCCGCTGCCGTCGCTGCCGCCGCTCAGAGATTCACAAAAATAAAATTTAAAAATCTCTCCAAACCCCCACCTTTCTTTGTAAAAGACAAGTGCGGAGCGAGGGCTGGGAGCCCCCGCGCCCCCCGAACGGGTGCCGCAGGAACCGGGAGCGTCCTGCGGCGGCTTCCGCGATTTTCGTTTTATTTCCCTTGGCCCCGCCGGTAGCGGCGGGCAGAGCCTGGCTGCTCCCAACGGGGAAGGGGTTCGGAGCTTCTCGGGCGGGGGGTCGTGAAACAGATTAATTTTAACATCGTTATTTGCCATATTTGCTCAAAGGTCATTTCGAGATCGCGGCGCTACTTTAAAACCGCCTTTGGAAAGGTACGCTCTTGAAAACAAACGAAAAAGAAACCAAACATCAGCGGCACCAGAACGGCGACAAATGAATGAAAACGCTCAAAGTGCTCCAAAACTGCACCGCGGCCCCGGGACCCCCTTGTGCCTTTCTGTGCTGAGTGGGGAAAATTTCGCTGAAATCACCGAAAATTGCGGTTTGAAAATAATAGCAATAATAATAGTAATAACAACAACAAAAACCACTACAGGGCAGGACGCAGAGCACCGCAGCCTCGGGACGGACCCGGTTCTCCGAGCCCCGCTCCCGCCTCCGTGAGCCCCGCACTGCCGGCGGCACCGCACCGAGCCCGGCGGGGGCAGGGGCCGAGCTGCGGAAAATCTGGCACTGGCAGACCCTTTAACAAAAACCACCGGAGGAATCTCCGCGGTGCCCCCCGAGCTCCCCTGCCCGCTGTCGTCGGGGCAGCCCCGAGCTCTGCCGCGGCCGGAGGATGCTCCGAGCCCCCCGCGCCCTGCCGGGGTCATTCCCATTTCCTGCCCGCCATTCCCCTTCCTCCCGGGTCAAACAGCATTCCCTCATCCTGGTAGGATGGGGAAAGTCAGAGCGGGGGTTCCAATGTTTAGTTAAATCCCGGCGAGGAGTTCAAAATACTCAGTCTCCTCGCGCGAGTCAAATTGAGGGGGGGAATTCGTGGTTTAAGGTTTAGAACAGAAAGCCTGTCGAAGCCAGGACATCCTCCCTGCGGGACAGGCTGTCCCGGGTGTGCGGGTCCGGGCCGCAGCTGCCGCCCGTCGTTCCTTTCCGTTCCGTAACGCGCTCCCGCCGCGGACGCTCCGGCCATTGCGGGCCCACAGCGCTGACAGGGGCTCCCCGAAAGCCGCTGGGCACCGCAGGCTTCCAGCACCTATTTCCCCTCCGGCAGGAGCCGGGACGAGGCCGTTCGAGCCTCTTTTCCCCGCCGCGGGGCCATCCCCGGCACGCCGCACCCCCGGAGCCGGGAGCAGCAGGGGCTCGGGGCGCCCGCACAGCCCGGCCGGGGGGCAGGAATCCCTCCGGGCCGTTGTGCAGTTGCACCCCAAACTCCCTTCCTTCTTTTCTCCCCGTTTCCCGAGGGTCGTCTCCCAGCCGGCTGCTCCAGGGCGCCCTGCGGGTTTTCCGAACCTTCCCCACGGCAGCGCCCGAGCGGCCCCGACCCCGCGGCAGCCGGCGAGGGCTGAGCCCCCCGGAGCGGCCCCGGCCCTGTCCCTACCTGAAGTAGTCCATCTTGCAGAAAATCTCCTTGTTCTTGATGTAGCAGCTGTGCTGCTGGCGCAGCGAGGTGCGGCACACGGAGCACTCCAGGCACCGGACGTGCCAGATGAGGTTATTCACCTGCGGCAGAGAAGGGGCTGAGAGCCGGGGCCACCCGCCGCCCCCCGCCGCCCCCGCCTCCCTACCTGAAGTAGTCCATCTTGCAGAAAATCTCCTTGTTCTTGATGTAGCAGCTGTGCTGCTGGCGCAGCGAGGTGCGGCACACGGAGCACTCCAGGCACCGGACGTGCCAGATGAGGTTGTTCACCTGCGGCAGAGAAGGGGCTGAGAGCCGGGGCCACCCGCCGCCCCCCGCCGCCCCCGCCGCCCTCCGCGCCGCTCACCTTCAGCAGGTACCGGTCGAGGATCTCCAGCCCGCAGCTGGAGCAGACGTTTTTGCCGGCGGACGGCGTGGAGGAGGAAGAGGATGGCGGGGAGCAGACGGACGGCGTGGAAGGGGTGCTGGGCGCCGAGCGGGCGTCCTCCTTCTCCAGGGCTCCAGGCAGAGGCTCCCCGTCGGGCTGCGACTGCGGGCAGAGCCGCCGCGGGGCCGTCAGCCGGGGCCCCGCCGCTCCCCGCAGCACCGAAGCGCAGCGTCCCGCCGGGTCCCCGCAGCCCTCGGCATCCCCGGCCCGGCGGGGACGGACAAACCCGCGACATCCCCGGCGGGACCCCGTAATCCCCGGTCCCGCGCGCCCCCACATCCCCCGGCCCAGCGGATCCCGGCGCGTCCCCACAGCTCCCCGCACCCCCGGCCCAGTTCGGCCCCGCATTCCCGGCCCGGCGGGTCCCGGCTGGAACCCGCAACCCCCGGCCCCACTTACCATGGCGCGGGAGTGCGGGTCCAGGCAGCGGGCGCTCCCCTTGGGCAGCGGCTCCGGCGGCATCACCTTGATGGAGAGAGCGGGAGAGGGAGGCTGCGGCTCCATGCGCCGGGCGAGCGCGGGGCACCCTATATAAACCGCCTCAAAACAATAAATAAGAACTTTCTAGTGGCCATTTAAATCCTTTGCAACAAAAGCTGCGTCTCTTTAATGAAGCAATTTGAATGTGGATTGAATTCTCCCCCTGCCTGCACTTAACCCGGGCCTCTTGAAGTAATCGCTCGGTTCCCATGCGAGCCAAGGCGCTGAAAAACCCCCCAAACTACCTGCAATTAGAAATTGCCGTAAATGCCCGAGATAAGAGGTACCAGAGTGTCAATTCCGGCTGTCAATCAGGGAATCCATCAGGCCACCCAAAGAATTGCAAATTTGATTTTTTTAATGGTAGTAATTAAAAATCGAAATTCTTCCCCCTCTCCCTCCGCCGAGCACAAAACGCCCCAGAAAACGCCGGGATGGAAAAATCCACCCCTCTGGCGCGGGAGGCAGCGAGCGGCCCCGGCCCCGGCCCGGCCCCAGCCCCGGTACCGGCCGCCGCGGGGAGCCCGGCCCCGCTCCAGCCCCGCTCCCGGCCCCGACGGCAGNNCCTCCCCCGCCGCTGCCCGCCCCGACGGGGCGCACGGTGCGGGCCGGCCCCGCAGCCCCCCTCGGATCGCGGCAGCGGGGATCGCGCCCACCGCCGCGGCGTCTGGCCGCCCGCCGCTGCCCGGGCTTCATTAGTAACCTGATAATTCCCCAGCAAAGCCCCGGCAGCGGTGCCACCGCCGGGTAATTGCAGGACGGTAACGTGAGCTGATGGCGGCCGGGGATGGATCCTCGCCGTTATTGATTGTGACAGCTAAATTGTTAACCGAGAGGGAAATCAGATGAAAGCCATTTTAGAATAAATACAAGGCATTAGGTTTAAACATCGAGGTTGCAGGAAAGCCCGAGTAACCCCCAGGAAACGGAACCCAAGGCCTGCCAGCTTGTCCTCCGCTGTCCCCAGCTCTGCAGAGGCCGAGTGCGAGGGGACACAGACAAGTGCAGAGGCGAGATGCTGAGAAAGGACAATTTCAACCCTTCGTTCTCACTGGTGGGGTCTGAATTGGCTCTGGCTGCTCCAGGAGAAACACGTAGGAGTTTTCCTGGGCTCAGCCACGAAGGCTGTCTGTCCCCCTACGCAGCAGCGGTCGAGGCAGGGCCGTGTGGGGTTTATTTGCATCCCCAGAGCGATGCATGGCTTGGCAGCCACGGCTCAACACCACGGGCCAGCACCACGCAGCCAAGCAGATGCTCGCACTGCTTTCATGATTACAGACCCAGCTCTCCAGACCCTGCAGAGCCAGAGCAGGCTGAGGAATGGGGTGACTCCAGCCCAGCTTCTGCTCTTCTCCAGCCCTGGGAGTAAGTCTTGGCACTGCAGGGTCGGTGTTCTGCTCTCACTGCCTGCTGAGAGCAGACATCTCACACGTGCATCTTGCACCAGGAACAGGGCCTGGGCAGTGACTGGGGAACTCAAAGCACTGGAGCTAACAGGTACCAGCCCTGAGTCCATCCCTGTCCTCACCCCGGTGTGCTCCCTCCTCCAGCCCTGGAGTTTGTACAAGGCAGGAACAAGGTGGCAGCGTGTCAAGCAGCAGCTCGGCCAGAATCCCAGAATTTGGGGTTGGGAATGTTCTGTGCTCCCAGAGTGAAGATTCCACGCCTGTCCCAAGTGAGGGACTGTCACCACAGGCAGAATGGTTCAAATACCAAGGAAAAACCCACACGGTGGCCATGGTGAACGTTGCCCTCAGTAACCCACCTTGCTCCCATGGATTTGCTGGAAATACAGGGGAATCAAGGAACCCCCTCAGAGGACAGGAGTGTAGGCTGGAGGTGAGAAAAGCCCAATTCCCCTTCACAGGAGCCAGGCACCAAGCCCAGCTCTCCTTCCTACCCTCCCTACTCACGGCTCCAGCGCCGGCCGCAGCGATGCTGCTCCCCGGCGCTCTTCAAATCTCCTTTACGACGGTCTCATGCAAAGCCCCAGGGTTGATGCTCATGAAAAAAACCCCATTTCTGAGCATTTCCCTCCTCCCAGCCCCAGGGTGAGGAACCTGGGCTCGCTGAGCTGTCGGGGCCCCGGGGAGCCGCAGGCAGCAGCACCAGCGCCTGCCAGGCCGGCGGCAGCAGCAGTGACCAACACAAGCACCCACCTGCAATAAAGCTCCCCCAGGTCTGAGCCTGGCTGGACACACAAGGCACTTCTGTTAGTGACCACGGCAGGGCAAAGAAATAATTAAAAAAAAAAAAAAAAGACTGATGCTATTGTACCCGAGTTCTGTCAGTGGACTTCGGCTGATGCCAAGCATTTACCACCCTCACTCACTTCCTGCTTGCCACCCTCGGCTTTCCTGGAGGAAAACATGCATTTTAAATGTTTATTGAAAGCTGTAAGAATTTCAACAAATTGTATTTAAATACAAATAAATATCAAAGGATGTTTCTGAGGAGAGCACAGCCACACACCCAGTTGAAGTCAGGTATCTTCAGGTATCTTCCCCATGGGAACAGAATTCAGAGCTGTTCTAAACAATGCAGATACAGACCCAGAAAGCTACAAACATTAGAGCACGGAGGAACAAACACAGGCTGCTCACAGAGGAATGTAAACGGGCGTCACTCACATTCAGAGGGGTACAAACTCCCAAGAATTCTACTTTTCCCTCTAGTCAGGTACCCAAAAACTAGGAAACAAACATTAACAGCACGAGACCTACTTCAGAACAATTGAGGCTTTCAACAATCCTCCGCCACAGACAGGCACGGCTCCGTTCCAGGTGCTCGCTTCGGCAGCAGGAAGCCAGCTCTGCCTGGAGGGAGGTGTGCTGCTGCTGCAGGAACACAAACCTCCCTGGGCTGTGCCACTGAGCAACTCCTGCCTGCACAAACGGGGGCTGTTTCCAAATTGTTTTCCCCCTCCTGTTTGAGACCACCATTAACCAGCTCGGGGGGAGCAGCTCAAGAGTGACCGATGAGGTCTGACAGGAGGGGAAAGCCAGACCATTGTCACCTGGACCTGAGCACGTGAGGTCTCTGACATCCTCCTGGCACATGCAGTCACAGCACTGTGTGCACAAAGGAGAAAATGCTGCCAGATTTTTTTTTTCCCTCAGATTTCTATTTTGCAGACATTTAGGGGGAAAATGTGTTGCAGATCAGATGGTTCAGAGCAATGCCTCCCATCAGATCTGTGGATTTGGCCCCTGGGGCAGTCCCAGTTCACCACAAACCCTGGTGCCACCTCACACCAGAGGCAGCTGACCATCTCTACCAGCCCATGGAAACCAAAGCTGGGCAGGACAGGGGGCAAACACGGAGTTCATGGCTTGCAGATGTCTCAGAGGCTGCAGTTACTCCCACACCCGGCTCACGAGGAGCCGCCACCATCAGGGATCACTGAACACAAATGCCAAAGCTCAGGGCACAGCACAGACCTCAGTGATGTGTAAATACACTAATTCCTACAGGCAGGCACACACCTACACCCTAAATGACACTGAAAATACCTGGGCTGTGTCATTACCATATCATAAAGTAACATTGTGGAGTGTGCAAATCAAAAGGTAAAATCAATTGGCCCTGGTGCATATAAAATATTGCATGCACAGTTACTAAAGGTGTTGCAAGATCTATTTAAAATGAGTTTTATTGAGATGAAAAAGTTTTTCCATTATAACTACAGCATGTTAATCAAAAACAAGTGCTTCTCCTTCCATTAAAACATGAATTGGAATACATTTCGTTCAAAAATACTTTAAAAAGTAATCAGTTAAATGGAGTATTTTTGGATGTGCCTTACTCCGAACGCTGGTTACTGTTTCTAATCTGGCTAATGAATGCACACTAACGAGAGGTTGCCTGTGTGTTCATCAGAGGCTTTGAAGGGAACCTATTTCTCTGAACAGCCTTCAGCTGTGAGCTGCACAGGCAGGAACGTGCAGACCCTCAGGTGTGACAGAGGGCTGTGCTGGCCGTGCCCTGCTCAGGTGGCATTGTCCTTCCCACTCTACAAAAGTACAAAAGCATTGGAGGACTCCAGGTATACAAAGCAGTGTTTCTTGCTACCATCATCCATTCATAAGCATCATCTTCTGGATTTCCAGGCAGCTCTGGAGTAAGGAGTAGTCCTTTTCTTATCTGGTGGCTTGAAGTAAGAATAAACAGGTGCTGCAGGATATTCTGCGTCTGGATTTTCTGCCATCATTTTCAGCTTGGCTTCAATGGCCTTTATTTTTGCACTGACACTGGAAAGAGAAAAAGCAGAAGGGACATTGAGCTTGATCTTAGCATGAAACCAACCTACAGAAATCCAGAGATTCTGCTGACATGAGAATCCTCCCTGCACAAGGAGGGGCCAGGCAGCCCCCACTGCTGCATCCACAGCGAGGCAGGAATGCCCTGCCCAGAGCCCACACTGCTGCATTTCAGCCTCTGCACGGGTTTGCTCCTGCAAGAGACTCCTCAGCACCCCAAAATAACAGCCCCTGCACCTATTCAGTGCTTCCTTGAGGACGCTGAGTGAGACAAGAACACGGCAAGGCTTCCTACTTCATTGAAATGATGTCATTTCAGGAGCTCTGAGCATGTGCAGCAGAGCAGAGCTCGGAGCAGGCTGCTGGGAACAGCAGAGAAATGAAAGCCAGACTTCCTCCCAGCTACAGCCCGCTCGGGATGGGAAAACCCCAGACTCTAATTAGGTCAGGAAGAAACATTATTTCAGCATTAGCAGGGTTTATCCCAAAGGGAGAAGCTATCCTAGGTTACACCCCAAATTCCTAGGACTTTGTTATTCACTGTCCTCCACTGGGTATGGACGGGGAGGAATGTTCCCTGCCCCACTGTGGCTTCTTGCACCATCCATCCTCACTGGAACAACCCCTTTGTGCCATGATGCAGTTAACAATCTGCATGACTCGAAGCCCTCTGCTCTTTCCTTCCTGGCCTGTTACAAGCTCATTTTATCTCTGGGCAAGTGCATTAATCTGGTCCTGGTTCCTCACAGGGTTCCACTGACAGAACACAGAGGAAAACCACACAAACAAACTGTGAATTAGCAAAGCAGCTATGTGCTTTAGGTAAATGCAGTGGTTGGGGAATTTAACCACATTCCACAGACAAGACCTACAGGCAAAAATCCACTGGCAAAAAAAAAAAAAAAATTAGTTTTGTGTGAAGTACTACCTGTGACTTTGTTTTAATCTTCTGCCACTATTGTGG